CTCTGCCTCTCCGTGGGGGCGAGGGCAGGGCGCCGGTCCTGGTCCCCACCCTGCCACGGTTTGCTTTCAGATAAGTGTGCGTGCACGGCCGGCACCGAATTAGTCACTGTCGGCTCTGGAGGTGCTCAGGCCGCGGACAGGCGGCATCGGGCCAGGAGCCCTGCGCTCTGTCCACCGTCTGGGCAGCGCGTCAGGCAGCGGAAGAAGGACCCGACCCCGCCTGGGCCCCGGCCCGTCTGGACCAGCACCGGCACTGTTCCGGCTCGCTGCCCCTGGTCCCAAGAGTGGCTGGGCCCCCTCTCAGGGGTCAGGGGCCACAGGGTACGGCCCCTGGGCTGTGGGGAGGAGGGCAGTGCCCCCAAGACCAGGACACCTCTTGGGACCAGCCTCTTTCTCCTTTGGACTCCCCTATAGTCACATTGGACTGTGGTGGCCGGGTCCTGCCTGAGCACGGTGGGGTCGGGCCTGGGGCTCCCCTTTGGGCGCATGCGTTTTAGGGCCGAGGCACGAGCTTCGCCACCGCTCTGGGCCTTTCTGGCTCTTCTCTGGGGCTCATCCCAGCACCGCCGTGTGAGTCGTGACCACCCGTCAGGTCCTACCGTGCACAGGCGCCCCGCTGACAGATTTGTGTCCTGGCACAAACCCGGGCCTGCGGTGCAAACACTGGGCTTGGGCGCTGGGGTGTGTCCACGTGTGTGGGCGCTGTATGCAGCCCTAGATGAGACCCGAAGACCGTCAGGGGTCTGTGAAGGGGTTTCCTGTAGCGTCGGTGGCATCAGGTGTAGCTGAGCATCCAGGGTCATGTCTGAGCGTGTGAAATTCATCCAGCTTCCGTCCGGACTTTGTCTCAGCATTTAAGCCGGGCCACCACAGCCACCGGCTGCCCTCACGGCTGTCCCCACCCCGGACCTCTGCCCTGGCCAGCGGGCTTGCTCTAGTCCAGCAACTCGGCATGTTGTCCTCTGGAAACTCGGGGCAGATTCGTGTCGACCCCGACCCCCAGCTCAGTGGCAGCATGTTCCCGGACAGAGCCAGCCACCCGGCCTCGGCGAGCCCCCCCCCCGGCACCCAGGCGGGCTGGCGTGTGCCAGGCGATGTCGCTCGTCCGTGGCCCCGGCCCAGCCAGGAGCACACTCGTCCACGCTTGTCCTGCCGAGGAGGCTGGGGGGCAGCTGGCGTCTGGGTTCTTCACGAGGACGTTGTGACCAGTAGGACACAGGAGTGGCTGGTCCTCTCTCCTTCGTGTAGGTTTTAACTGCATTTGCTGCTTTGAGTCCTTAATCGAGGGAAGCGGTAATTCCCTGAGGGGCTGGGGGCCTGAGGCCCCTCCCTCTGTGGTCCAAGGGTGGGGGGCCCCGTGAGGCCGGGAGCCACTGGCTCAGGGCAGGCACACGTCCAGAAGCCTGATGGTCAAGGTACAGGCCTGACTCGGGTCTGGAGGCCACGGAGCAGAGGGAGAGGGGCCAGGGTCCTCCAAAGACCAGGGGCCACCTCGGGAGCAGCCCAGAAGGCCACCCGCGTCCCGCTCTCGGAGCTCAAAGCAACAGGAGAAGCAGCCGCGGGTGGTTTGGGATTCACCTGAACAACTGTTCCACGAAGGAGGGTCTGAGACCCTCCTGAAGGCGTGCGGACAGCCCACGCCGAGGACACCCACACAGCACAGCCAGTCTGTCCACCGATGATTCAGTCCTTCCCGGACAGGACGCCCGCTGGGGGTGGGCTGGCCACTGTAGGGGCACCGAGGAGGCTGCACGGGGCCCGCGGGCAGGACTGCCCCGGAGGGTTCTGGATGCAGGAGGCAGCAGAAGGACGTGAGGGGCCGCAGCCGGGCGTCCCCAGGATGACTGCGCATGTCGGCTGGCGGCACCCTGCTGTTTGCCGTCCGCGGGCGTGTCGCCTGCCTACGGGTGGGTCAGTGGTGGCGGCTCTGTCCCTGGGGGCTGAGCCAGGTCAGTGGGTGGGAAGGGGAGAACCGGGCATAGACTCGTGCACGACCACGGCGGTGACCCTGTGGCCCGGGCACCGGGCACCCTTGGAGACGCGGTGCCGTGCTGGAGCAGGTGTGGGGGCAGCGTGTGTGCCGCGTCGGGCCCCGGCTTCCCGAGGCATGACGGGCGTCTGGCGGGGGTCCCCCTGCAGCGAGGAGACGGCTGCTGGCCTCTGGGGCGCAGGTGGGGAAGGGGGCACGTCTCCCGGTGGGACGTGGGGCGGGGGCGTGGTTTTCCCTGTGTAGGTCTTCCGTGTACCCTAGGCCACGTACGGAGCCAAAACCACAGGTGAACAGGGGATTCCATTTCTGTAAAGGAAAGGCTTGTCCCAAGATCCCATTACAGCCAAGATTCCAGTGAGGACTGAAATTGCAAGTTTGGCCTTGTGTTCTGGAAACTTCTGACCGTGCATTCCTTCCCTGCATAGCGCTGGCCATCCCACGTGCACGGGCAGCCCACAGGGCCCTCCCCGGGGGACGCGGAGGACGGTGGGAGGAGGGGCCGGAGCCGGTGGCTGACCGGGTGCCTTTGTGTCCCCCCAGCTACCCGTACAGCGAGGACTCCGGCCAGGGCAGACAGTACATGAACACGCGGTGCCCCGCGTGGTGCGACCGCGTCCTCATGTCTCCGTCCGCCAGGGAGCTGATTCTGAAGGTGAGTGCCAGAGCTGCCCCGGGACCAGCCACGCAGGGGAGACCCGGGACGAGTCCTGGCGTCAGACCCAGCGCTCAGGCCTCAGGGGCCTCTGCGACATCCCATACCTTTCTGAACCCGAGACGGGCACACGTGGTCGTCAGCGCTCTAAAAAATCATCACGGTCGATTGTATCCCGGGGAACTAAACGTGCTCTGGTCCACGAGAGAGCGCGTAGGCTGGAAAGTGTGGTGGAGACGTCCGCCGTTATTTTCCTGAGTTGTGAATCACGAGCCTGATTCACATCTGGGCTCGATAGGGTGAAGACGGATGGGCGACATTCAGGAGGTGGCACACCGCACTGGGTGTTGGGACGTTTGGGCTTCCTGTGGCCTCCTGACTTTCCAGAATCTTCCGTGTCCACATTCCAATTCAAAAAGAGTGTTTTCAGAAGGATCCAGGCCTACACTGGTTTTGTCCACCCGGTAGTGAAGAAGCATCACCCTGGGGTGAGGTGGGCGTGCCGTGGTCCAGTGCCCAGTGTTCGGAGCAGATGGGGGCACATCTTAGGTGGGGGCCGTCCCCGGGACCGCTCGGCTGGGCCCTGGGTCCTCGCCCGGGGACGCGGAGCGCGCTGGGCCAACAGGGGTCACGGCCAGGAGGGCAGAGCCCCCCACGTGCCGCCCCACCACACACCTCCCCAGTGCCCCCTACCCCGTGGGCCCCCGCTGCCCTTTTCCTCGAGGGCCCAGCTCTCCACGTTCTTCCCCGAGCCCAGAGCGGCCTGGGCCCGTGGAGAGGAAACCGGCTGGGGGACTGGGCTGGAGGCAGGGGCTTCGATGGGTCCGCGGCAAGCCTG